TGCAAGTTGGGAGCCAAGGCATTCTTTGCATTGTCACAAGTTTCCTTGGCAAAGATATGTTAAGCTTGGAGACGTCCTACGCCACTTTGCTTATACCGTCGTCGCTCTTCATGGTTGTTTACAAACTGAAATCCAGGTTTCATTTTTATTCTTTCCATTATTTTATGGACACAATTGGCCTTACTTTTTTTAAAATCTAATCGAACGTATCTCAAATATGTTCTACACTCTATCAGTTTTGATTTTTTTTGAGCAACTTATTTCAATTGTCTTCATTTCACCTCGGTTAAACTTCTATATCTTCTCTTCCCAAAAGTCAAAATCGGAAAAGTTTTTAGTGATGGAGGAAATATATGTTTATAATGAATATATGCATGATCCATCCATTCCACATAAGTGCTCGAAAAATGAAATTTAGTACTATTGGATAAAAATAAATTTGTTTTTTATAGAATGGGATGGTTTTGCTATGGAATTTTTTTTGAAGGAATACTATGGATTAATATATAATTAAAAATTAATATGTATATATATAGACTCCTCCATCTCTTCGCGGTCTCTTCAAAGACCCATGCATGCGCCTCGCCGGAGAAGTCTCCAAAGCTCTAAGGGAACTGGGCAACAGCATCCGCAACCGCCGCCACTGCTCCCCGGAGATCCTCTCCGACAACCTCGACAAAGCCCTACAGGACCTCAACTCTGCCATCAAGTCCCAACCGCGCCTCTTCCTCGGCCGCGGCGGCCGCAGCACCACCAGCAACAACACCGCCTCCTCCAACTCCGCCGGGGAGCAACATGTCATGAGCAAGCCGGCGTCTCTGTCGAGGGTCAAGACGGACACGTCGGCGCTGATGGAGTGGAAGAAGTCAAAGAAGGAGGCCAAAGAAGACGCGGCGGAGAAGAGGGCGGCGGCGGTGTCACTGAGGCCGACGCTGAGCAAGGTGGCGATGATCACGTCCTTGAACTTCTCCGAGGCGCTGCCGCTGGCGGCGTTCGCGTCGCTGCTGGTGGAGCTGGTGGCGAGGCTGGAGATTGTGATGGAGGAGGTGGAGGAGCTGGGGAGGATAGCTCATTTTGAGGAATTCAATGATGGGGGAGATGATGATGGAGTGATCACCATTAGTGATCATAATAATGGCGAGTTCTTTAAAAAACCGAACAAAAAGGAGAGTGCTGAAACGGCTTTGCAGAACCAGTTGCCTTCTCAAGCAATGTAGCTATCTTGAAAATTTATTAATTAATTTAAGAACAACCCCGTGTTAGTGTGCATGATCAAATATTTTAATTTATGTCATGTGGTTGTGGATTATTATTCCTAATTTGTTGTGATGCCAATAATGAATATGATATTGTATGTTTGATTTGCAGAAATTTCGCCCATCACATTTTTTTTATTTGAAATTAAAATGGTGTTTAATGATACTTGTAATAGATCAATTTAATGAATTATTATCTCCATCCGAATTTAAGTTGCCTTTTGTTTACAATGTTTGATAGTTTGACTAAAATCATTCTCAATTCAATTTATTTGAAAATTAGTGTAAAATTTTAAGCAAAAAATTATACATTGAAAAAGTGCATCGGTCCATGCATTGTTGCATTTGATAATCATAATTTATTACAAAAATACATACTATGTTTTAGCACTGTTCATTATGACTTTTTGATACGTCAATATTCAAATGAATATGATCATATATCATATCTATATTCATTCACCTCTTAATGCATTATTATGAATGAAGGTCCTAATGGACAATTAAGAGACAACTGGAGTAGAAATTAAATACCATTCTCAGAAATACAAGTGTTTTGTTACACAAAGGCCTCACTACTACTCCCCCCTCTAAAGAGCCTAATCTGATTAAGGTGAGAATCCACCTCCAGACCCCCAGACTTTTAACCTAAAGCTATGTCAGTAAAGTATTAAACAAAAAAAACAGAGAATTGTGGGCTTTCCTCTAAGAACACTTCCAAACAGGTCTCAACTACAAAATTTATACGTTCATCCCGAAACCCGATTCCCAATTGGCCTCGATGTCTCCCGAATTATGCCCGGTTTTAGCCCAAAGAATTGGCGAGGTTCATTGTAGAACGTACCAGAACTCTTCTGCCAACTCTTTCTGAGCAATAGACGGGCAAATGGGGCCCGAGTGCCCGAGATTCAAAGATATTTACCTAATGATTTCCAAATTTGTTCTTTGAGTGACACCACCATGACATTGACATCATCATAGTACTTCCTGCGGTCAATGTCAAGCAGTTCATGAGAATCCATCCCTGCAGCCAAAATAGGTTCAGCTCAAAAACATGGGATTATTGTACCAACGAAAAAAAAACCCATAACAAAACATTTTTAAGTCACAAATAGCTATTAGAGCAATGCAAGATACTGAACACATCGTCTAGAGTAGAAGACCAGATTTGGGCATCGTTTGGAAATAGTGTTTTCAATTACCCTTAGCATGAACTCTGAAAATGCTAGAGCCAAATTCTGCCATTAGATACCCTTCTCAAAAAGCTAAAGCTAAACGCTGAAGTTGTTCCCAAACGAGCCCTTGGAAAAGCATACGGAGTGATACATGTTGTCCACTACTCCTTGTTTTCTAGATTAGGTACAATTCTTGAAAAAACTTAAAAGGAAAGTGGAAGCATTTTTTTAAGGACAAACTAAAAAGAAAGTGTGCAACATTTTTTATGGGGGAAGAGGAAGTAGTATATCACTATATCCATTGCTTGAATTTGGGCACAAATATTTCTAACGATTGTCCTAAAAATGCATTAACAAATTTTGAAAATCAATTCCCAGAAATAAGGGCTGAAATAAAGGGACAGATACCAATCATACCAGCTTTCTTGCGGCGCGGAATAACAGCTCCTCAATTAAGTGTTTGGCAGGATCCCCATCACTACCACTATGTTTGGTTCAAGGAATTTGGAAGGAAAAGAAAAGAAAACGATTTTCTATTATTTTCCTAATCAAAATGGGAGGAATCTGGATTTCCCTTCACTTTGTACATTTTGCCTTCTCATTTTCTTTTCCTTCAACTTTTCCTTTCTTTTCCTCTCTAACCAAACAAAAAAAACTGTTTTCCATTTCATTTTCTTTTCTTTTCCCTTTCAAATTCCTTGAACCAAACATAATGTACATTTCTCCATGAAGCTCTCAACATGAGAAACAACCTCTTCGTTGCTCAAATATTGGTATAAGCCATCAGAAGAGAGCACTAAGAATTGATCTCTGGGGCAGACTCTATGGTGACACAGAGAAGGCACAGAAGAGATGTACGGTGTGTGCACAATATATTCATTGCGAAACATTTCTAGTGCCTCATTCAGCTTCGGGAGCATGAACATGCATAGCAAAAAAACCGATGCGATTAACAGCAAGCCTGTAGAAGACGAAAAACACCACAATTGAGTTTTCTAAGGCTCTGTTTTGAACATGGAAAATTCTGGGGAAAGAAAATATGGAGTGATGTACTACTACCTATGTCCCAGTGTATTTGTCTAGTTTGACTTTTTTGAGTTAAAATTTGACTTTTTCGAGTTAAGCTGGACAAACTTTGAGCTTCAATTATTCTCAATTTGTATGACCTATTAGTATAATGAAATACATTTTTGAAACTTCTCGATAAAATAAATCTAATAACATCATTTTTATGCTAAAACACGTTATAATTTTATTTGATTGAAGCTCAAAGTTCATCCAGTTTGACTCGAAAAAAGTCAAATAGAAAAAATACACTAGAGGGAGTATAAACCTATAAGGGGAATATGGACTAAATGTTTCAGTACTCGAAATGCCAACGCATGGCACCAAGAACAAACCTCTTTCAAGAAGCCTGCCCCAAACCTCTATTATTGACAATGCAGTTACTATCATCGGGATGTTCATTCTGGATGCTGGTAACCTCCTGGAATAATTATAGGAGACAAATGTGTAAGAGTATGGATGAAACATTGAAAACAGGACCTCGAGATGGGCATGGAAAGCTGGCAATGATCAGCAATGGAAATCATTATACTGAAATTAACATGAATACACGATATTATTATCAATTTGACTTTGGGGTTCAAAAATTTTCCAGAAATCAACTAAATTTTAAGGGTGAAATTGAAGGGGTTGGAGGTGGATTCCGATGGGACTGACATAGAGGGTTTACCCGGTGCCAGTGTGAGAGTGGCAATGTGAATTCCTAGTTAGGTCACAAAAAGAGTAGTACTAGTATTTTGGTATTTTTATCATCTTTTACTCGTATATAGGTTTTTCTCCCTATACCATATCAAATCAACGTACTTGTTCAAAGCTCGTGCTATGATCAATTGACAGTTGCAATGCAATCAATTGCACATCTTGAATATGTTGATCAATTCTTAAACATAAAATATAAATTAGGGATTTAATCATGTGTACCTGATAATCCTGTAAACGTAGTTAGGGATGGGGCCATGATTCTCATGCAGATTGAGTTCCCGTTTAGGGTGTATCGTTATGATGGCTAAGGTGAGGATGACTCACGAGAATAGAGAGGCAGAGAGGAGGCGTAAGATTGGTGTGTTAATCTCTGCCTAATGACCTCTATATATATACACCCAAGGGGAAACCCTAATTAGGTCATAAGGGTAATTACGTCCATCGAATAACTACCAATTAAATACGTAGGAAATTTATTAGGTCAATGATCAATTAATTAGATAAATGATAACTCAGGCTAGGGGTGGACAGTACCGCCACCCCATGTCACCGGAACCGTCACCGTGCCGGCCGGTACCGGTTCCGGTTCCCGGACCGGCGGTTCCGGTTCCCGGACCGGCGGTTCCGGTACCGGACCGGCCGGTTTCGCCCCCCCCCCCTTTTTTTTTTGCTTTTTTTAAAATTTTTAAGTATAAAATTTTAAATTTGCAATTGTTTAAGGAAAGAATGAAGTACCGGAATGTAGTTGTTATCTAAAAATGTAGTTGTTATTTAAATATTTTAAATGAATAATACACTAACTGAAGAACAACCACATTTAATATCCTGACGGTTCAAAAAAAGCGACGAGGTAAAGAACCGTAAAGAAACCCTCGAAGGAGCTTATATATCGCTTAGCTAAAAAAACTAATTACATATTTACATTAACAAAAAAAATTATAACTTATTCTTCAGAACTCGAACTTCCATCTGTTGTTGCATTCATGTAATGCTCCAATTCGAGTTGGTACGTTGACTCTTGAGCTCGACGTCTTGCCAAGAGCCAATCTTGGTTGCAAACAAGTGTTTCAAGAGATTCAGCGCTAAGACAACTTCGAAAGTCGGTTAGAATGTTGCCGCCAGCACTGAATTCTCGTTCAACTGCTACGGTTGATACCGGAACGGATAACACTTGTCTTGCTAGCATGCCGAGACATGGGAACATGTGTTCGTTCCGCTTCCACCATCCGAGCACGTCAAAATCCACTTCGTCTTTATCGTAATCGCA